GATCAATTAACAGGGAGATTTTAACCCTATATTTCGGATCTTAGTTAATCATACAAAATACAGACTTAACGGTATACCATAAAAAAACATTTGGAAAAACCAGAATAATATGACTTAACGGTATATCATACAAAACATTTTAAGTAAGGAAGTGTCCTAACTATATTAACAGCTCTAACGCCGAACTATGGCCATGTAGATTACAATTGACCAATCGGTACGCCATACAAAAACATCAGAGACAACAAAACATGGTCTAGCAGAATGTAGATTACAATTGACCAATCGGTACGCCATACAAAAACATCAGAGACAACAGAACATGGTCTAGCAGAAGCCGAACATGTCTGCTGAGATGAAGCAGTCAGATGGAGTGGCGCTTGAGGTGCCGGCCTCTGGGTCCACCAGAGTTCAGCGGGCTGAGACCACCGGCCCACACGCGGGCTCCGCTGGGAGGAAAATGAAATTAAGTCTAGTTGGCACACTTTGGCTGGCGTAATTACCCTCGCCCTTCACTAACTAGTGGTCCTGGTGAGTTCATTGAATACACTGGCCGGGGGCAAACTCACACACAGATACACACACAGACACACACACTTACACACACTCACTCACACACATACACATAGACACACACTCTGTCAAACAGATACACACAGATAGACACACAGACACACTCTCTCTCACCATACACACACACTCCCACACACTCACTCACACACAAACTCACACAAACTCCCGCAATCACAAATACATAAGTTAACCGTATATCCGGGAACAACCCTTCTGCGGGTGACATTATCAGCTAACCAGATATACGACCGTGGGACGGAGTGGTCTAGCGGTAACCCGCAAGTCTCGAGTTCGAATCCGTCCCTGAGTCCTATAGACCGTGAGGTTTGAAAAGAGAACTTTACTTTATATACGACCATGTAAGTCTGTATTCACCGACAACCACTTATATGGCAACGTAAGGTTATAACGTTTTTTGAACCACCGTCTATAGAATACCTGCTCTAGCATCAGCTCTAGCAGTGGCCCGACAATTAGAAAACCCGAATTTTAATAAAACACATCAACTTCAACTAATTGTATGTAGTTTAAGCTACATAAATATGCCCTGTTTTTATAAATTTGTAGGTGGCCTATAGCTGATGTTTAAAATATACATTTTAATTTTAGTAATTATTTCTAAGAAATTAATTACATAATTTAGGCAACTAGCCAAGCGAACAAATCGGAAACTTTTGTACACTTAACCCCGTTAGAAATAGCTTTGAGCAATGGACAAACACGCTTAGCTTCCGGTGATTAGGACATCACACATCCCTTTTGGCCAATGGGATGTCCGACACATCTTTTAGTCAATGGTCAATGTGGTAATACCTTCTGGTCAATAGGCAATCGGACACCTTGCCTACATGTAGCCTATGTAGTAACCATACCAACTTTAGACCAGTCCCCCATCTTGTGAGTACCATCCCAACTTTAGACCAGTCCCCCATCTTGTGAGTACCATCCCAACTTTAGACCATCCCCTCCCCCCCATCTTGTGAGTACCATCCCAACTATAGGCCAGCCCCCATCTTGTGAGTACCATCCCAACTTTAGACCAGCCCCCCATCTTGTGAGTACCATCCCAACTTTAGACCAGCCCCCCATCTTGTGAGTACCATCCCAACTTTAGACCAGCCCCCCCCCCCCATCTTGTGAGTACCGTCCCAACTTTAGACCAGACCCCCCCCCCATCTTGTGAGTATCATCCCAACTTTAGACCAGTCCCCCATCTTGTGAGTACCATCCCAACTCTAGACCATCCCCTCCCCCCCATCTTGTGAGTACCATCCCAACTTTAGACCAACCCCCCATCTTGTGAGTACCATCCCAACTTTAGACCACCCCCCCCCCATCTTGTGAGTACCATCCCAGAACCAGTCCGACTATTGTGCCTGGAATTGGTTTAACGCTGTCAAACTGGCCTGGCAATGAAATTAGCCAATCACCGAAACGGAGTGGAAATGAATTAAGTCCCTTATTAAAGACATGAATAATGTGTGGGGGACGCGGCTAAGACTGGGCGACCCAGACTTGATTAAAGAAATCTTTACGTTTAGACAAGATGCTCCAAGAACAGCAAGGGAAGTAATCTCTTCAAGTTAGTTTCCCGAGAGTTCTCTCCGCTTGTTATTCTATTTACATAAATAAATTAATTAGCAGTTGTTCGAACTAGTGCTTATTAAGTGTTAAAAATATTTTTGTTTCTGTCAAATTTATTTATACTAGAAAGTGTTAAGTTTATTGTAAATGTTTTATAACTAGTTGTAAAACAATAGTTGGGATTGGAAAAATATCAAGACAACAATTGATAAAATAATTCAATTATGAATTGATACATCTGAAGTCAGTCAATTGAGTTGTGTTGGAACTTTCTAGATTGTTCTTCTCTTGAAACTTTGACGTAGAAAAAAAAGCCATAAAAATCCGAACAAAACCAAAATCAATTTGAAGCACCCCCACTCGCCGTTTGATGGACAAGTTCTCCAAGAAACTTCATCGAGGGCGGAAGTTCCAGGTCGCTGTGTGTCGCGGGAAGCTAGCCCGGCCCTCGCTGGCAAAGCTACCTATGAATAAATTTGCCATTTGGGCGCCCGGCCCGCGCGGAGGCTGGAACATTCTAGAATCTGAGTGATGAAAGTTATATTCAGCGGATTTGTGTTGTAATCAATTTGACGACAATCTCCAATCCCCGGGAAAATGAATGGGGCTGGGGATATCCATGTGTCTTGATGGGAGGGAGGGGGGGGTTGTCGTGGGGGGGGGGGGGGAGGGGTTGGTGGGCTTTACGGAAACAAGGGGTGTAAGTCGGTGTGCCAACAAATAGGTCACGGTTGGACGATGTCATGCTTGGTTAGAGATGTGGTACAGGATCAGATGTCATCTGCTGTATGACAGACATAGCCAGATGTCATCTGTTGTATGACAGACATAGCCATATGTCATCTGCTGTATGACAGACATAGCCAGATGTCATCTGTTGTATGACAGATGTGGTCAGATGTCATTTGTTGTATCACAGACATGGCTAAATGTCATGTGCTGTCCTCGTGTGTTGGATCCAGTAAACTAAGTTTAATATGAATTAAAATCATGTATGAAAACCGTATCACCACTTATACTAAGCACTACTCTCACATTGTGTCACCACTACATATCTCCCACCCACACCGTGTCACCACTTCATGTCTCACCCCTACGTCGTGTCACCACAGCTTGTCTCACCCACCCACCGTGCCACCCACCCAGACTCGAACCATCATCTGCAGTACCCAGATCCACCTTATATAAACCCCCGCTCCCCCTCTGTATAGTGTGTCGTCTCCCATTTCCATGTAACTTCCCCTTGTGACACCTCCACTTCCTCTCCTACCCATGCCCTACAATACACCCTTACATTTACAGCCACTGACCCTAACACACCTCACATCATCACAAAACAAACAGCCCACACCCACTACCCCAAACCCTCTCCCCCACACAGCCCACACCCTCTCCCCACACAATCCACACCCTCTCCCCCACACAACCCACACCCTCTCCCCACACAATCCACACCCTCCCCCCACACAGCCCACACCCTCTCCCCACACAATCCACACCCTCTCCCCCACACAGCCAACACTCTCTCCCCACACAATCCACACCCTCTCCCCCACACAACCCACACCCTCTCCCCACACAATCCACACCCTCTCCCCCACACAACCCACACAACCCATACCCCTTCCCCACACAATCTATCCCATCTCCGTAAGCTTAACCAAATTTTTCTGACATGCAAAAGAAGAGCAAATCAATTTTTCTCATTTAAATCACAGATATGTTAATTGTGTCAGTTCTTCGATTTTAAATCAATTATCTGGTACATCGATCCCGCAATAATCGATCTACCGTGTGAACATATCGATATTTAATTATCATAATCATAAAGCACCACGGCCTTAAGAAGTTGCTAACTCAGTGTATTGTAAAATCTTACAGGAGTGATTCACTTTCGATAGTTCATGAATTGTTGGGTGAAATGACATATAAAAATACCGTATCAAAAAGGATGATGAAACAAATATAGAAACATTTAAAATAAACTTTAAAAAACGCAATAAGATAAAACGGTAGATAATGATTTCTTCCTTTAGTCAAAGAGTGTGTCAGAGTTTTCATGAGGGACCAACGCTTGTAAAGGAGAAATATCGTTTTAAATTCTCTTACTTTAAGTGGGATTAAAAGCTTATTATTATAACGGTTTTTTAGCTGTTTTTTCTCTCTAGTTTTTAGTAATTAAGAATTTAAATATTTAATTAAATTGATGCCTGTCTTTAACAACCTTCCATTGACCATTGCACATCCTAATGAGTGCCTACCTTTAATTATTACAACATCCTAATGAGTGCCTACCTTTAATTATTACAACATCCTAATGAGTGCCTACCTTTAATTATTACAACATCCTAATGAGTGCCTACCTTTAATTATTACAACATCCTAATGAGTGCCTACCTTTAATTATTACAACATCCTAATGAGTGCCTACCTTTAATTATTACAACATCCTAATGAGTGCCTACCTTTAATTATTACAACATCCTAATGAGTGCCTACCTTTAATTATTCCAACATCCTAATGAGTGCCTACCTTTAATTATTCCAACATCCTAATGAGTGCCTACCTTTAATTATTACAACATCCTAATGAGTGCCTACCTTTAATTATTCCAACATCCTAATGAGTGCCTACCTTTAATTATTCCAACATCCTAATGAGTGCCTACCTTCCACTATTCCAACATCCTAATGAGTGCCTACCCTTAATTATTACAACATCCTAATGAGTGCCTACCTTTAATTATTCCAAGATCCTAATGAGTGCCTACCTTTAATTATTACAACATCCTAATAAGTGCCTACCTTTAATTAATCTCTTCCATTACCTTCCACTATTCCAGCATCTTGGAGCTCCGTAAAGAGAAGTCACGTGACGCGGCACGCTCTAGACGAGGGAAAGAGAACTACGAGTTCTACGAGCTGGCCAAGTTGCTTCCCCTGCCAGCCGCCATCACCAGTCAGCTGGACAAGGCCTCCATCATCCGGCTGACCATCAGCTACCTCAAGCTTCGAGATTTTTCTAGTCAAGGTGACCCACAGTGGACTCAAGATGGCGGGCCTGTCCACAGCAAGATCAATAAAGGTAGGGGAGGGGTGGGGACATTTGAAATATGGGGACATTTGAGAAGATGGAAACATTTGGAAAGATGGGGACATTAGGAAAATATGGGGACATTTGGAAAGATGGGGACATTTGGAAAGATGGGGACATTTGGGAAGATGGGGACATTTGAATGATGGAAACATTTGGAAAGAGGGGGACATTTGGAAAGAGGGGGACATTTGGAAAGATGGGGACATTTGGAAAGATTGGGACATTTGGAAAGATGGAGACATTTGGAAAGAGGGGGGCATTTGGAAAGAGGGGGACATTTGGAAATATGGGGACATTTGGAATTATGGGGACATTTGAAACGATATGGACATTGCTACATAGCGGAGACACTATGAAAATCAGACACCCCTCGGTAGTTCATTAATTCACTCTCTCCTACATTACTAGTTTTGGCCGAATTTACGACGCTAAACTAAGATTTTACCCACCCCTCTTTAAAATAACGCGTCAGTGTGAAATTAAGTTGATAGACATTGATTAAAACTTATAAAAACCTGATCATTTTAGTTTCTGTCTATGTCCTTGAACCTTTCGTGAGTCTACATGACGTCATCGCTTTTGTTTCAGCTCATTCCTCCCGTCTGGATATTGCTGACCCGTTTGAGTCGCGCCAAGGGACCCACATATTACAGGTGAGTACAGTCTACGTGTCGCTAGTGTATGAGCGGGGTCCGTCTATTTGCCTCAAATCAGAACCGTGTGTTCCGCTGTTATCAAACGAAAGGGGGGGGGGGGAGGGGGGTCAATTAGCTTGTAATGACGTCAGGAGTGAGTTACCGGCACGAGCTGATGGTTAATCTGGGCACGTGCGTCTGGTCACGTGGGGGGATGTATCCGACAATGGGAGACAAACTCAGACGTCCCCGACTCGCATCATCAAACAGTTTTTTTTGTTTGTTGGGGGGGGGGGGGTCAGTTCCAGGTGGTGCCATCAACATTCAGCTCGTGTACCTGTCAGCTGTCATATCAGTGTCCACGTCATAGGTCAGCGTCATAGGTCTACGTCATAGGTCAGCGTCATAGGTCAGCGTCATAGGTCAGCGTCATAGATCTACGTCATAGGTCAGCGTCATAGATCTACGTCGTAGGTCAGTGTCATAGGTCAGCGTCATAGATCTACGTCATAGGTCAGCGTCATAGATCTACGTCGTAGGTCAGCGTCATAGGTCAGCGTCATAGGTCAGCGTCATAGATCTACGTCATAGGTCAGCGTCATAGGTCAGTGTCATAGATCTATGTGAGAGGTCCACGTCATATATCCACGTTATGAACTTAATTCCCATGAACAATAAACCCTACATCACATATAAAATCTACACGATAAACAATTTAAGCTGCTCTCATTATCGACACACAAAACCCATTTTCCCCACCTTACACAATTTAACGAATATCTAAACTATAATCCTAATTTGTTATTTCAATAGCTTGTCTACATTTGAAAAGTTATTCGCGTTTTTTCTTGTCGAAATTATTTTTACCGTCCTCTGAAAAAAAATAAAAAATTGAGAGACGTACACTCATTCATTAGACAGACTATTTATTCCAATAAATCCGGTCTTAAAGTTCACCGAGACTGGAAATATAAAGTTTATTCTACATAGAATATAGGACATTAAATGCAGTGACAATCTAGAATGTAAGAATAGTCTTGGTGCCTTGGTTAGCGTGTTTGTAGTAATCTAACGAGGAGATAATCCCAATTCGATTTGAATGTGTTTGTATGTCTCCGTGTCCGCAAAGCGTGGAGATAATCCCAGTTTGTTGTCCGGGGATTATGGTCAAGTGCGTGTGCAGAGATCCCATCCACGAGACGAGCTTGTTATGAGTGGCTCAACTCGGCACGTGTCTTCTTGGTGCCACCTCCACAAAGGTCGCAGAAAAAAGCTGACCCTAAGCTGACCCGGGTGACCCGAGAGACCCCATGTCCCCGGGCCGGGTCATTAGAGCGTCTCACGTTGTCTTATTACACGCAACTCGCGCCCACGTTGTCTTATTACACGCAACTCGCGCCCACGTTGTCTTATTACACGCAACTCGCGCCTTCCTTAGTTGCCGAGGATTTGGTCGAGTGGCCAAATGTTTTGTCTTCAGCCAACCCGGACACAACCCAGACAAAACCAAGACAAAACCCAGACAAAACCCAGACAATTAGACAGACGGACGGTGGGCGGGTGGACCAAGTCGGAGATTAGCCAGGGGATACCCAAGGTGAAGGGCAGCTGATCTTTCCACTCTGGCAGGTAGTTGAAGCAGAGTTCTGTAACTCGACTCGCCAGTTTTGTCACCTCCCAGCGCCATCATCAAACAGTTCGTCACGGCCACACCGCGCACACAATCAAAACACAATCACACGCGGACGTCTTAGAGAGTTCATTTTTCAACGACCCCGCCTGACAATGGAAGGGGCTGGCGCAAACAACGGTCACCCACGCCAGGAGAATACCCCAGCACAAAGTGGGTTGGGTAATAGCCTTAAGAAACGCCGCCGCAAACACATTACGAAAAGCCGGAGAATGATCATTGCCGGCTAACGTGTCACCTCCTCGACCGGTGCGAGCAAAGGTTAGCCGGCGTGTGACCGGAAACAAGAAATGTCAGACCAGCCCTCGACCTGAAGGCGTGAGAGAGCACGGGGGAGACAATGTATTGTCCGGGAAACTCCTTGTTTCGAGTTCTCTTTTCCTTGTCCGGTTTAGAAAGTAAAGAGTTGCCCCGCGGCCATTGTCTGAGACGACGACCTCATTGTCCGGCATCGACTCTAAGAACTCTGCCGGCCAGGAGTCCGGCATTAGCCGGCCAGGTCACGACTGTTACTAGCAGGTGGACTAGAAAAAGGTCAACCCCGCCATTGGACCAAATGACGCCGGATTACGTGGGACCAAATCTGGGGCAGGGGACAATACCCCGGGTCACGAAACAATAGGAGTGATCTCCCCGTGTTAGCAAATGATTGGGGAAGTTTGAGCAGAGAATGATCCTCAGGGTGAGACTAAAAGCCCATCTTTCTCCACTCTAACAATGACGCCAGCTACCATGACAATGACGCGAGTAACCATGACAATGACGCCGGTAACCGCCGAAACAGGTTGACCCGAGTTAAACCACAGGCCGCCCCAACAAGCTCCACTCCCGACAAACACAAATTTACATTTTAATTCGTTTTAATTTTTTAATAATCATTAACCAGCCGAGGCGAGGCAGTTGGCGACAGTATGGAATAGCCATATTTTCTCGCGCGTTGCTTGCTGATATCGCGTTTTAATCACGGTCTTCCGGGTTGGCCAGATTTACGAGGCTACGGGGGCCAAACTCAATATTACAGGCTGAACTAGTGGGCTGACAATATGACACGGTGTTGACGGCTCATACAGTCAATAGAAAGTTGACAGAAAGGTCGTTATAGACTTTAATCAAGGTTGTTTCACGTCTATTTTTTTTTAAATTTTTAAATAAAATATAAATCTTATAAATTTCATCATCGGCTGTGTGTTTTGCATACTAGTGTCTTATAATACCACAATATCGGATTGTTCTTTAAACCCCAGTGGTATGTAACGGCTAGTAAACTAGAAACATATGCATTCATAATTTTATCGTTAACAATATACTTAACACATACTCTAACCCAAGACTAACATAACCGTAGCGCTAAATCTATAGTAATGACTACAGACACGCCGTTTTTTTTTGGGAGAGTCCATTTTCGAACACTGGTTGTAGAAATACTCCCAACATGTAAATAACGAACTGTTAAAGAGAATTGAATAAAGATTTCTGGTTGGTGGTTCTGGTCACGTGTTATGACGTCGTTTTATATTAGCTGTGTGATGGGAGGGGGTTGTTACACTGCAAATTATGTGTGCTTTAAACGCCTGACGTCATCAAATCATACCACGTGATGTGGAGAAGTTGCTTACAAACACCATACACAAATTTGGACATTTGTAAGCCACAAAAACACCATACAACCAATGTTCCCTCTAAGGACAAAGAGTGTGTGTGCAAAAATTATGTTGTGTGCGCGGTGCTAAAAATGACTTGGGCAAGTTAATATGTATTTTTAGTCTTGCAATTAAGCATAATAATGAAGGCATGCATTTTGATAAATTAATAGTATAATGTGTGTGACTTATGAAACGTATGCAATTAAATGGAGATGCGAATACCATCAAAATAAATAAAAAACTAATAAAAACTTTCAGTTATACTTAGGCAACAAGTTATATGGTCGACTTACTATGTTAAAGTAAGACAGTCATATGGTAATAATGCTAATACCATAACGGTAATACAAACGCAATAGTTTAACATATGCAACATTTAATAAAGCTGACTTAAAAACAAATATTAGCTAACCTTTCAGGGGCATTTATTGCAATTTCTCGCGTCTAGCCTTGCATTGCTTCCACACCTTATATGCTTTGTTTAAATCCACATCCTCTCCAGCATTTAGATATAATTTAGTTTGCATCAGATTCTCCAAATGTGTGGCTTCAAGTCTATTTCGTGCTTGCACTTTTATTATGTTAATAAGGCTAAAACCTTGTTCGTAATCAGCACTGCATGCTTGGAAGGTACAGTAATGTCACTTAACTTTGCCAGTGAGCTAAATTTTGTTATTTGTTTTGACAAATCTTGCATATTCAGACATATAATTTACAGAAACAGATTTGAGTTTTTCACTTTATCGAAATTTGAAGTCATTGTATTGGATGGTAATTAACTGATCATTTGTTGTACGTAACCCGTCTTTGTACTTTACGCACAGTTCTTTGATATCTTTGACGCCAAACACTCAAATGCATATTTTCTAAAACCTGTAGCATAAAAAAAGATGACAAAAACTGCAGTTCATCTCCTGGAAACCTAAAATTTAAATGTTCGCAGACTGATTGTATGTACTGTGTGGTTTGCCTTGTGTCGATTCTTTCGTTTAACTCACACTTTTCTTGGCTTTAATGTTCAGTGTAGTGCTGTTACGCCTGTCTCCAGAGCTAAGGCATCACTTACAGTAAGCTGAGTTATTCCACTAAAAACGGTTTTGTAGAATACAGAATTGACTGGACAAAATTTAAAATAAAGGATTAGCATTTTATGTACTGTTATGCCATCAACTATAAGCGTGTGGAATGATGCTGCTCGAAGTTCTGTCAGTATGTTCTTTACAACAACTTCGTTAATTACTTGAACAAACTCAAAGGCGTATTTCTTACTTCGCCAACTGTCTGGTATTGAAACATACTTCCCCATGTGGTTATGAATCAGTTGTACCGACCGCTTCGAGGCGTTCATCTTAATGATAAGAAGAACATTATCCGTTAGGATTCGAACTTTTTTATCGCTGGCGCTCGTTTTGCTCAATTAGTTTTCCTCGCTCAATGTAAGTTTCAACCAGCAGACGTTTAAGGTCAGTTCCATGTGAGCTGTTGTACGAAATCGCAACATTTCCTACGTAAACGAGAGACAATAGTTAACGTTTACAGTAGTCAAGCGCCCATGATTCCCAGAGCTTTCCTGTGACCAATTCGTTGTTTATGTTGGTTTTGTTACAAGTAGTAGCAGCACAGAACTTACACTTCAGTCCAATCTCATCTGAATATTCGTAGATGCTTTCTAATTCAACCGAAACATTATATGATATGGCGTATCGGTTGTTACAATAACTTTGAGCCATTCCAGTTTAAACGAATCTATCGCTTTTTTTTTTGTGCCACATTGTTGTACTGCTTGTTACACACATTTTTCTTTTCAACATTTTCAAATAGCACACAGTAGTGGACATTTATTCCTGATTTACCTAACCAGTCTGTGAATACTGAAACAGTTCGATCCAGGTGCACGTAATAATCCCAAGAATTGGATATATAGTATATAAATCCTTAAACCAAACAGAAAAAAAGACATCCACCTTTAGTAAAGTAGATTTTACATCTGACTTGGGTAAACCGTCTTAGTATCAGGAGGTGGGTGGTGGTTGGGAGATGGGGGAGGGCAGTGACAATAGAAAATAAAACCTTGCATGGTCAGCTAGTAGCCACAATCCCTTTCCGGTATTAGGTGTCAGTAAACCATTAAATCAAGCAGAGGGAGGGTCACCCAGACATCACATCGGTACCCGCCCCGCTCAGTTTAGAGTGAAGTCATTAACTGGACCTGTGGTATGACAACCAAGGCCACCCCCCCCCCCCCCAAGTCAATGATACCCCTTGGTTTCTGTTTATGCATCAAAACACAAAGACTGTTCGTTTAACAAAACAGGCAATAAAAATGTCGCTTAATTCAAACCACTGGCCACATTTTTTCTTATGAATCAGGCTTGCCCGACGTTTTGATAATCTGTGCGCGGGGTCAGAAAATGTCTGCGCGGCACATTTGAAAGTACTGCGCGGCCGCGCAGCCGCGCAGCTTAGAGGGAACACTGCATACAACTTCTAACATTTGTAAGCGACAAATCACCATACACAACTTCTGACATTTGTAAGCTACAAAAACACCAAATACAAATTCTGACTTTTCTAAGTCACAAAAACACTAAACACAAATTTTGACACTTCTAGTTTAAGTTTAATGACTTATTTCAATTTCACGCAATCAATGAACGGTCGGTTTTTAAAAACATTCACTCCCACTCGAACTCCAGTTTAACAAAACAACGCATCTATCTACGTCACAATTCTGTACGTATGTAGGTCGCTTGCCCGTGGACTTAGCAATCCTAGACATTAAAATATAGACATGGACAGACAAGGGCCGTAACTAGGTTTACACCTTTGTGGCCGCGGTAAGTGATTCCTCAAACACAGGGGCGGATAATCCCAGTTCCAACAAGGGCAGCAACCCACCATCCTGTATACACGACTTACGGGCTGACGAGCTGGGGTCACGTGGTCCCTGTCCACATGCCGGGGGTTCGCCCAATATTGACTCACCACTGGCGTTAAACGGGCGCTAATCTCTGGACAAACCGACACCAAACATCCGCCAAACGCCCGGACAAACATGCTCTAGGGCGGACCGGTGATTCTAATTATAGTAGCAGTGGCACCCCGACACCCCCGTCCGACAATGGTATCGTCCAGTTTGATGATCAGCACTGGACCACTGATTCTAATTATAGAAGCAGTGGCACCCTGCCACCCCCGTCCGTCAATGGTATCGTCCAGTGTGATGATCGGCAAGCATGACATAGCTGGAATCCTTGCGACGGGGAAATGTTTGTCTCGCACATTCTAGAATGGTCGGTGAATTCCTCCCGGAAATTTTTGCGCGGTAATCTTGTGGAGTGAAGGAGTGTAATGGGGGTGTCGGTACGATTTTTCTACTGCCTATGGCAAACAACAGATCGATCGTAGGAGTACTTGGTTACTCAACTTAAACAAAATTTACGGGGACTAAACAAAAACATATAGATCGCACAGCGGTGGCTAACTCATCTATAAAAATTTGATTTGTAAAACATGTTAACTCAGTAGAATGAAGGGAAACAACTTAAACAAGTCATTGAAAGTGTAAAAACACAAATTTGGTGAAATATAGGAAACAATTAAAACAATTAAAACAACAACAAACAAGCAAAAATAATTTTAAAAAAAAGAAACATGAAACATCCAAGTGCTGAAACTTTCGAATTTGTCAAAAAATGAACAAAATAATTTTGAGAAAAGTACTCAATACCAACAGGTGAAACTTGGCACCGATGTCAAGTGGATTGAAACAACAAGAAAATTATGTCAAAATTTCTCAACGACATCCATCATAAAGTAACCACTTGATAAGAAATATCGCACACCACCCCCCCCCCCCCCCAACCCCGGGTCCTCTGGCTGGTAGCGGCCACTAGATGGCGCGTGCCGAGACCCTGACCGTTTGCATGCGCCTCACGTGCGACCCTCTCGGGACTGGGAGAAAATTGCTTCTCCTCAATTTGGTCAATTCAATAGAAGAATGGGAATAGTATGGAAGGCAGCTGGGGGGGGGGGGAGGGGCTGAATCTTCATCCCCGGAATTTAAAACAAAATCATTGGCGCTACTAAATATGTACATTTATATGCAAGTTTATACAGGAGTGTATATTTTTAGATCGAATAATTATACGATATATGGGCCTATTTTTTCTCTAAGGAATCACCCCCCCCCCCCTTCGTACGTTTTCGTCTCCCCCCTCCCCCCGCCCCAATCCTAACATAAGCCCTCCACTAGCTAGAAATAAAAAAGTGTGTTCAGACAAGGAATTAGCGGGGATCTACACCTGGGCTCTGAGCTAGCCATCCCTGGTCACCCCTGTCTTGGTCAGCTCAGGTCAGGCCATACGTCATACAGTGGAGGGACGGGGAGGGGGGGGGGGGAGGGCGCCCCAGCGTACTGCTTGTCGTCGGGATAAAGACTGATAGGGGCCGTAACTCGCGAGATGAATGTGTAAGTTGATGAGTCGCCTCCCTGCCTGTACTGGCCACAGACTTGACGTACCGCCTTTGTTAACAGGGGTCAGGGCGGGGGGTGGGGGGGAGAGGGGAGGGAGGGGAGGGAGAGGGGGTTAGAATTTCTCTTTTTGCTCCTTGTTAGTTCACTTATCTGCCATCCATCAATCCATTCCATCCACCTGTCCACCCAATCCATCTGTCCATCCACCCACTTATCCACTCACCCACTAACTTTAAACAATAGCAATGGTTCCCAATAGAACTTGACTATCAATGTTTGAGACATGTTTAAACCCAGGCCACAGAGTTTCAAATACTAAACTTTGGACGGCTCAATTTAATTTAGTCATTGCATTGGACGGCTGTTTTTTTTTTAATGTTTCAACTTATTGAACTTTGATTGCATATTTTCAGTCTTTGGACGGCTGTTTTTAATGTTGCAACGTATTGAACTTTGATTACATATTTTCAGTCTTTGGACGGCTGTTTTTAATGTTTCAACGTATTGAACTTTGATTACATATTTTCAGTCTTTGGGCGGCTGTATTTAATGTTTCAACGTATTGAACTTTGATTACATATTTTCAGTCTTTGGACGGCTTCGCTTTTATCCTGGCCAACGATGGACGGTTCCTGTACATCTCAGAGACGGTCTCCATCTACCTGGGCCTTTCACAGGTAAGTTTTACACCTGAGGGTTTACACCTGAGGGTTTACACCTGAGGTTTTACACCTGAGGGTTTACACCTGAGGTTTTACACCTGAGGGTTTACACCTGAGGTTTTACACCTGAGGGTTTACACCTGAGGGTTTACACCTGAGGTTTTACACCTGAGGGTTTACACCTGAGGGTTTACACCTGAGGTTTTACACCTGAGGTTTTACACCTGAGGGTTTACACCTGAGGTTTTACACCTGAGGTTTTACACTTTAGGTTTTACACCTGAGGGTTTACACCTGAGGTTATGCGCCTTATTTTTTGTCGTTCTGTTTAACCTGCCTCGCTAACACCTGAAGTTTTCAACATCTGATGTTTTTAACGCCTCAAGTTTTCAACATCTGATGTTTTTAACGCCTCAAGTTTTCAACATCTGATGTTTTTAACGCCTCAAGTTTTCAACATCTGATGTTTTTAACGCCTCAAGTTTTCAACATCTGATGTTTTTAACGCCTCGAGTTTTCAACATCTGATGTTTTTAACGCCTCAAGTTTTCAACATCTGATGTTTTTAAAGCCTCGAGTTTTCAACATCTGATGTTTTTAACGCCTCAAGTTTTCAACATCTGATGTTTTTAAAGCCTCGAGTTTTCAACATCTGATGTTTTTAAAGCCTCGAGTTTACAACATCTGATGTTTTTAACGCCTCAAGTTTTCAACATCTGATGTTTTTAAAGCCTCGAGTTTTCAACATCTGATGTTTTTAACGCCTCAAGTTTTCAACATCTGATGTTTTTAACGCCTCAAGTTTTCACACTCTACACTTGAGATTTTACCGGTCCTTCTCTCTCTGACGTGATCTTAAACTTTTGCACAAACGCCCCCCCCCACCCCCTCTCTAAATGGACACCCACACCATGCCTGGATTACATGAGAGGGGTCAGAGAAGTCAGCCACTGACTGAAAACAATTTAAATTTTATTTATAGAAATAACGGAAATATAAATCAGCAACGATGATCGTTAACATCTTTTTTTTATTCATAGTGTTTGTGATAATAAATGTTTAAAAGTGCCAGATATCGTTATAAATTTTTTTAGCGCAATTTCCATACTGACAATTGCGATTATTAATTCGTTATTTCTGGATGGATGGATGGATGGATGGATGGATGTAGGGATGGATGTGTGTCCGCAGCTTTAAGTCGTATCTCCTCCTCAACGAAGCAATATGGAGGACTAGTTCCAAAGCAAATATGTTAAGCAAGTTCCGAAGATGATTGTGGGCCAAAAAAATTCCCGGAATTCCTTCCTGGATTTCCCGGAAAAGCCAAAAAACCTCGAAAAAAATGCAGTTTTTGGCCCATATCTCGGCAACCAGACCACTTAGCGACTTGAAACATTTACCAATCGATTCCTACCATAATTTAGAACAATATCGCCGAAGAAAGTTTTCAAAAATATCCTTTCGTTCGGTCACAAAAAATTAAGGAAATTGCGCTTAAATTGTCACTAGACTTTTTATTAACTTGTTTTCAATTCCTATTGTTTGTTGATAAAAACTCGCTGCATCTATTTGCTTTATATAAAACCTAAATATATTAACAAACATCTAAGCATATCTTTGTACAATTGCACATATCTTGGTACACACACAGTGACATAAACCAACAGAGAAAACAAACAAATGGACACCTGATCAATTGAGCCAATCAAATTGCGAGTCTATTTATGCAAATATCTCCGCTACTGTCCGGGCGAGAAAATTGCAAATAGTGAAATAGACGGGGAGGTGGTCTTTACTTAATATCACAGGGAGGCTGACAAGTCCCCCCCCCCCCTAAATATGGAGCATGACAAGTTCAACCCCCCCCCCCCCCCCCAAACAGGGAGGCTGACAATTCCCCCCCCCCCAAACAGGGAGGCTAAGTCGTCCCCCCCCCCAAACAGGGAGGCTGACAAGTCCCCCCCCCCTAAATATGGAGCATGACAAGTTCAACCCCCCCCCCTAAACACGGAGGATGTCAAGTTTCCCAAACATGGAGATTGTCAAGTTTCCCAAATATGGAGATTGTCAAGTTCCCCAAACATGGAGGTTGTCAAGTTTCCCAAACATGGAGATTGTCAAGTTTCCCAAATATGGAGATTGTCAAGTTCCCCAAACATGGAGGTTGTCAAGTTCCCCAAACATGGAGGCTGTCAAGTTCCCCAAACATGGAAGATGTCAAGTTTCCCAAACATGGAGATTGTCAAGTTTCCCAAACATGGAGATAGTCAAGTTTCCCAAACATGGAGGTTGTCAAGTTCCCTAAATATGGAGATTGTCAAGTTCCCCAAACATGGAGATTGTTAAGTTTCCCAAACATGGAGATTGTCAAGTTTCCCAAACATGGAGATTGTCAAGTTCCCCAAACATGGAGGCTGTCAAGTTCCCCAAACATGGAGGCTGTCAAGTCCCCCCCCCCTTAAACATGGAGGCTGTCAAGTTCCCCAAACATGGAGGCTGTCAAGTTCCCCAAACATGGAGGCTGTCAAGTTCCCCAAACATGGAGGCTGTCAAGTTCCCCAAACATGGAGGCTGTCAAGTTCCCCAAACATGGAGGCTGTCAAGTTCCCCAAACATGGAGGCTGTCAAGTTCCCCAAACATGGAGATTGTTAAGTTTCCCAAACATGGAGATTGTCAAGTTTCCCAAACATGGAGATTGTCAAGTTCCCCAAACATGGAGGCTGTCAAGTTCCCCAAACATGGAGGCTGTCAAGTCCCCCCCCCCCCCCCCCTTAAACATGGAGATTTTCAAGTTCCCCAAACATGGCGGCTGTCAAGTTCCCCAAACATGGAGGATGTGAAGTTCCCCAAACATTTGCACATCCCCCAAGCCAACAACAACAGCCCTCGACACCGAACAGTTGTATGACGTCACGGGTGGGCCACCAGCAATGCTGGGGCCGACTATCTGCAGGCGGAGCTCGCCGCTAGGTGGCGAAAATTGACGCCATCAAAACGATCAATCAACAGCGGCTAAGTGGATTTCTTCAGGCGGGGTCATTTAAATACGGCTTAATCAAATTTTGCTGCAGATAATTTCGGCACCCCCTCGCGCGAGCTCTGTCTCTGCCAAATCGAGCGGCGGGAAATCCCCGTGGACGGGGGGGAGGACGAGGGGAGGACGATCCGGTAACAAGCTCTCTTGCAGCCGGAGACCGGAAGACGTGAACGGATGGGATGTTTTGCCGGCTCCGTTGGTTTTCCTTTTTAATTTACCCAAAGACAAATAAAATCCTTGTTAAACCCCCGCTGACACGAGTAGGACTTTTTTAAAGGAAAAAATAAAGAGGGTTGTTGTAATTGTTTGGGGGAGTTTTTAAATCATATGATTTGCATGTATCAAGAATTAATTACAGCCGGAAGTCGGTCAAATGACGATGCTAAAGCCATGTTGATGTGTTGATAATGTTGTCACACTGGGCATGTGTCTTGACGTGTTGATTAGACTTGTATTAATGTGTTGATTAGACTTGTCTTAATGTGTTGATTAGACTTGTCTTAATGTGTTGATTAGACTTGTCTTAATGTGTTGATTAGACTTGTCTTAATGTGTTGATTAGACTTGTCTTAATGTGTTGATTAGACTTGTCTTAATGTGTTGATTAGACTTGTCTTAATGTGTTGATTAGACTTGTCTTAATGTGTTGATTAGACTTGTCTTAATGTGTTGATTAGACTTGTCTTAATGTGTTGATTAGACTGGTCTTAAAGTGTTGATTAGACATGTCTTGATGTGTTGATAAGTGAAAGTTGATCAGAGATGGTCCCTTCTGACAATGTTGAATGTCAGAACCTAGTGTTCAATTAGCTATATGAAACACGTAGAAGACACACACAACATCTGTCGACTGCCGCCCCCTAGACGCCCCGGGTTAGTTAGACGTTGTACCAAGAACAATCAGGGGCGACAATTCTGTTCCGTCCCTTCGTTAGGACGGTCCTGTGGGAGTGGACACAGTTTGGCCGCTAGGTCTCGTCCTGTTTGGGACCAGTTTCAAAATAGTTTCTGCTACTTTATTTACCCGGATATTTATGGCGTTGGGAGAATAGTAAACTTTGGTGTGATCTAAGTCACATGACTTGCCAATGGTAACCTTTGGTGTGATCTAAGTCACATGACTTGACAATGGTAACCTTTGGTGTAATCTAAGTCACATGACTTGACCAAGTACTCATCAAATGGAGGAGGTAGTGGTGAAGTTTTTTTAAGGAAACAGATTAGTAGCTGTTAAATTAGGTTTTGCCCAACCTAAACAACAGACTACACAATGTTTTTAGTACTATTTCTCCTCACTATACACACTTCCCTGCTAGCTCTCTAACTCCAAGCCTCACTAAAAATAAATAGTTGACACCACTTGTATATCTACATTCAACCTTAGGGGAAATAATACAACACATTACTAACTCACAACATGGTGTCAGGACAACATGGTATCAGGACAACATGGTATTAGGATAACGTTTTGTCAGGACAACATTTTCTCAAGACAGCATTTTGTCAGGACAGCATGGTGTCAGGACAACTTGTAAGGACAAGATGGTGTCAGGACAACATGGTGTCATGGTGTCAGGACAACATGGTGTCATGGTGTTAGGACAAGATGGTGTCAGGACAATATGGTGTCAGGACAACATGGTGTCAGGACAACATGGTGTCATGACAACATGGTGTCAGGACAACATGGTGTCAGGACAACATGGTGTCAGGACAACATGGTGTCAGGACAAGATGGTGTCAGGACAACATGGTGTCAGGACAACATGGTGTCAGGACAACATGGTGTCAGGACAACATGGTGTCAGGACAACATGGTGTCAGGACAACATGGTGTCAGGACAACATGGTGTCAGGACAACATGGTGTCAGGACAACATGGTGTCAGGACAACATGGTGTCAGGACAACATGGTGTCAGGACAACATGGTGTCAGGACAACATGGTGTCAGGACAAGATGGTGTCAGGACAAGATGGTGTCAGGACAATATGGTGTCAGGACAACATGGTGTCAGAAGCGCCACTTGTGGCTGGTGTCTGGAACAGTGGCGCCCTCTATAGGCGGCCATCACGTGACCGTCTTGTAGAGACGGCCACCACGTGACCTTATTGTCTGTCTTGAGTTGCCCGGGTCCCTAGGGCCCACTTGGTGACAAAGTGAAATGAATAGTCCCGTGGGTGAGTTGATCAGCTTAACGCTCCCTCCACGGCGGCGACAGCCCCGGGGCAGAGAAGGTGCTGCCCTTGACAGGGCACTAATTGAGAAGCCTCTGCCCCCCACGACAAACGCACTGCACTAGTCTGCATCTTCCAGATTGACTTCGATTTTTTAACGAGAAATTATCGATTGATTTGTCGCCGAGTCATTAATTCTACTATCCCGAGTTGTAGTTAGAGTTTTGGGTGGGGTCGATTAGGGTTTAGTTCGGGTTTTGGGTGGGGTAGATTAGGGTTTAGAGTTTTGGGTGGGGTAGATTAGGGTTTAGTTCAGGGTTTGGGTGGGGTAGATTAGGGTTTAGAGTTTTGGGTGGGGTAGATTAGGGTTTAGTGAGAGTTGTGGATGGGGTAGATTAGGATTTAGTTCAGGGTTTGGGTGGGGTAGATTAGGGTTTAGAGTTTTGGGTGGGGTAGATTAGGGTTTAGTGAGAGTTGTGGATGGGGTAGATTAGGGTTTAGTTCGGGTTTTGGGTGGGGTAGATTAGGGTTTAGTGAGAGTTTTGGGTGGGGGTTGATTAGGGTTTAGTTCGGGTTTTGGTGGGGTAGATTAGGGTTTAGTTCGGGTTTTGGATGGGGTAGATTAGGGTTTCTATAAACACAAGTGTGGCCAGATTTGAACTTTTGAGCTTTAGCTGAACCTAGAACCCCAAACAGCTAAACGACAACCCTTATATTATTAAATAAATCAAGAGCAAGAACGCTTAAATTTTTTAAGTAGTTCGCAACATCAAGTGATCAAATTGATACAGTTTGATGAGTTTATGCAATATTTTTTAGGTTTTTCGTTGGCCAATTTTATGTAGACTGATCAAGTTGGATGCAATATCTGTTAGGTTTTTATTTGAATGTAACTTAAGATGCTGTGCTCCCTCTTAAACTACATAACTAAAGTGCAAAGGTCGAACACACACATCTCACACATAATCTTGTGGGTAGTCTTTCTCTCACGTTTGTCCCCCCCACCCCCCACCCCACGAATCTCACGTGTATCCTCCACCCACAGGTCGAGATGGCCGGGTCCAGCATATTCGAATACGTCCACCCACAGGACCACACTGAGCTGGCTGAGCACTTGGGCATGTGTGTTGTCTCAGGTAAGACTGGAATCAAATGACCAGTGGCGTAGGCAAATGGGATTAGGGGGGGGGGGGGTTATAACCCCTCCCATGGACCCCGACCCCTATATGTATATATTTATAGTCGTATATATATATAGTCGTATATATATATATATATATATATACATATATATATATATATATATATATATATATATATATATATATATATATATATATATATATATATATATACATATATATATATATATATATATATATATATATATATATATATATATATATATATATATATATATAGACTACCGGTATATAGGATTTTATATACGTATGTAAACATTTTTGAACCCCTCCCATGACCGATTTCTGGCTACGCCACTGCAAATAAACTTGAAATGTACTGACCTGGTCGTTTAGTCATTGATTACCTGTATCGATTCCCTCTACTGATTGCTCTAATTTGTGTGTCCTCCCTCTTTCAATGTCCTCTACTGATTGCTATCATGTGTGTGTCCTCCCTCTATCAATGTCCTCTACTGATAGCTATAATGTGTGTGTCCTCCCTCTATCAATGTCCTCTACTGATAGCTATAATGTGTGTGTCCTCCCTCTATCAATGTCCTCTACTGATAGCTATAATGTGTGTGTCCTCCCTCTATCAATGTCCTCTACTGATAGCTATAATGTGTGTGTCCTCCCTCTATCAATGTCCTCTACTGATAGCTATAATGTGTGTGTCCTCCCTCTATCAATGTCCTCTACTGATTGCTATAATGTGTGTGTCCTCCCCAGTGGGTCCATCAGGCAGCCCCGCTGGGTCAGGTTCTGAGGACGGGTCATCACCCACTACAGCAAGACCCAGCTCACCCTCTGAGAAAGGTAGGGTCAGGCACGTTCATTCAGCAATGCCAAGGTCACTGACCTTTTACAGACTACTCAATACATAATTTGCAATATAAAAACACAAACACTAAATTATGTGAACTACCTTCTCTTGGAAATATAAAAAAAAAAAACCGACATTTTCTTACACCATATTGATTCGTTTCGATTAAATTCTGGAATCCCACGGAAATTTAATTTTTATACTATAAATATTACGTGTTAAAAATGACGTGTCCATTCCCTTTTAGTAAACATTTGTTGTCGATTCCATTGAATTTCATTGGATAACCCAACACCACGTAGACATACTAAAACTAAAAGACATGATTTCTAAGCTACATCACAAGTGGGTCTAGCTTGCACATGAAACACTAGCTTACACCCTGGTATTAGAACCAATGTAGTTAGTTTTACGTTAAGTCGTAGCCCACCGTCTAACCCCCCCCCCCGTCCTGTCCTGCAGGCTACATGATGGTACCAGGCTCAGACAAGAACATCCACAAGTCCTTCTCCCTCAGGATGAAGTCAACCCTGACCAAACGAGGCGTCCATGTCAAGACTTCCGGCTACAGGGTAAGTCGTCATAGGCTTCACGTCATTAGGGTGACGTCATATGGGTGACGTCATAAGGTCTACGTCATATGGGTAACATGATGATGTAGTATCTAAGGGTTTATACCACGGGTTCATGTCGTAGGGTTGACGTCAGAGTTTTACATTTACGTCATAAAAATGACGTCACAATATTCAGAGCGTCGGGTTTTGAAATTTATAACATGAGCACCATTTTGGACAGTAATGTTTAAGTCACCTGACTTTGTTTACAAGTTGAGTTTGTCACCTCCAGGTTGTTCACATTCTGGGCACTGTGCGGCCCCAGACAGCTTACGGCCAGTCCAGGGCCGGGGCCCCCAACCCACTCAACAAAACCAGCACGGACCCCCCTCTCCTGGGGCTGGTGGGGATGGCCATCGCCCTGCCCCCTCCCACCATCACGGAGCTGCGGCTAGAGCTGGACACGTTCATCACACGACTCAGTCCGGACTTCAAGGTCATCTACTGCGAGCCCATGTAAGATTTCGTTAGTAATGCAAGGGAAATAATCGAGGAAATTATTTTAACTATTGGTTTAACATAGTAGCCTCCCTTGAAATGTATCTAATTTTAAAATGCTAACGCACAGTTTTCTTTGCTTTCTTATTACATAGTATCTATTTTTTTTAATTAACTAAGCTGAGATGGAGCAAATTTTTATCTTTCAGAATATCTGACCTGATGGATCTATCAGTTGATGACGTCACAGACCGGCTGCTATATGACTTGTGTCACGCCGCTGACCTGAAGAGCCTAAAAAGGTCACACGAAGATAGTAAGTACTATCATAGGGCACACATTTATCTGGCAACATTTTCAACACGGATCACATTTATCTGGCAACATTTTCAATTTTTTTTGTAACGGCCCATAGTTTTATCAGCCACTTGTTTACACGAAATCTTTGGAATCTTTGGTGCCCTGTTGTCTCCTAATTCCATATATTTCAGAGCTCCCTTTTTAGGCATAGATGAGTATTATATCATATATATATATATATATATATATATATATATATATATATATATATATATATATATATATATATATATATATATATATATATATATATATATATATATATATATATATATATATATATATATATATATATACGCCATCATGAGGGTATATAAAGTGTGTGTGTCTAGATTTTGTGGTGCCAATATGATAATTTGGCTGAAACTTTGTCGCCTGCCCCCTAACATCCACGTATTCCTGTCCGCCAGTTCTAAACAAGGGCCAGGCACTCACTGACTACTACCGTCTGATCAACAAACATGGCGGCTTCGTGTGGGTGCAGACGTGTGCCACTACCCTGCTTAACAACAAGAACTCAGACGACCAGAGTATACTGGCCATCAATTACGTCGTTAGGTCAGTTCACTTTTTTATCCTCACGTCTTTAGGGCAGTTAAAGTTAAAGTTAAAGTTTTAAGCTTTTTGAGCAAGTTGTGGCCCTTTATTTGGTCAGGTAACAATTCTAAGATTACAACATGCATGCAACATGCCTAACCTTTAACCTTTGTTGTCCCGCCATCAGTGGGGTTGAAAGCAAAAGCTCGGCAGTTGACCTGTGGCAGGTGACCGGTGACGTCAACTCAGCTCAGAGCAGCTGTTCCAACAGCCGGAGCAGGGAGGAGAAACTCAAAGGTAAAGGGGGGGGGGATTATTTAGCTGTAATGGTGGTAGGGGAATCGTATTTAATTGGGATGGAGGCGGGGATTGTATTTAACTTTAAGAGAGTTAGGACATTGTATTAAACTGTAACAGAGTGGAAGGGGGAAGGTAATATGTAACAGCGGAAAGGCGTACATTTTACTTTAAAAGATATTTAATGATAACGAGGTTTCGTATCTAACGACAAAAGCCAGATGAACAGAACGTGTAATCTAACCATCTCTTTCTCCCCCCACCCCCCAGAGCTCAAGTTGAACCCAACCTTGCCGTCTGACGCCGGCGGGAAGTTAAAGCGAAATCTCTCACCCAGTGCGGCGCCCCACAGCCCCACCACCGCCCCCAAAGCTGACCGCACCAACGTCATCAGAACGGCCGCACTGAGGTCCAGCACCACGGAGACCAAACCAGCAGACGTGGCTTCTGACGACGTCGATGACGTCATCAGCGAGAAGAGCACGTCCGTGCTAGACAGTAAAAACAAGCGCCGCAAGATGGACAACCCCCGGAAACGGAAGCGCAGCAACAGCGACTGCGCAGAGCCGAGCGACAAGGCGCTGAACCTGACGAGAACTGGGGGCGTTAAACCAGCCATTACAGACACGTCATCAAACGTGATGACGTCAGGTCAACTCACGGACGGCTCGCTGACAGAGCGCAGAGGGCCGGGGGTCTCGACGTTTTCTTTACACCCTGATCACGTGACCTCCTCCTCCCCCGAGGACTTGTCCATGAAACGCACGAGCTCCGATAGGAACATCATCCAGCATTCGTCCAGTCTGTTCCCGGGGGTCGCCTCCCCCACCAGTCTATTCCCCGGGCCCACCTCCCCCAACAGCTTGAAGAAACCCATGCTCGATAAAGACCCCACCTCCATCGCCGGTAGCTCAGTACAAGAACTTGAAGCTGCCATGAACCGGCATTTGCCGGCTTTGACTACCGTAGCGGACACCTCTCTTCCGGCCGACGGTCACAGTTTGACCAACCCACTGACCACATCGTCAGCCAAATCTTTTGCCGGCTCTGGAATCTCATCCAGCGTGGCGCCCACGCCCTCCTGGGGCCAGAAGCCCCCCGGGGCGGACATGCTGACGGCGTCCAACTTCCTGCGGAGCCTGTACGCCAACAGAGAGTCGGTCATCAAGACCAGCTCCAGGGCCCAGACCCAGTTCCTCAACCCAGACCCACCCACCAGTCTCCTGACCCCGCCGGAACCAGACCCTAGCACCTACAAAGACTCCACGAACACTTACCCTTATGCTAAATCCGACCCCTTTAACTACGACAAAAGCTCAGGGTTCGAATCCAGGGAACAGCTGTACAGAGACCAAGTCCACAAAGAGCAGTTTTCGTTTCTCCCGTACAAAGACCACATCCAGTCGGCGTACATCGACCACATCTCCTCCACCTACAAAGAGCACCTGAGCTCCCCCTACCGGGACATCATCCCCACCTTCAACATCCCCAGCTTGATGAGCCCCTCGGGCCGCATGCACCAAGCCTACTCGACCCTGCCCCACCACTTCCCAGTGCCCATCACCACGGCAACCATGGACGCGTGCAGCATGACGCCGCCATCTTCAAACTCCCCGGATGTTAGCAAGCAACAACCCGCCTACGACACCAGCGGGTACTCACACGACACGACACACACGTGCAGCCTCACACAGAAACAAATGAGCTCACAGCCCGCCAGCCACTACCATAGTTCAAGGTCATCCAAAGACCAGCTCTACCACGCCGTCAACGGCGCTGACCTTGGGAGGGGCGGCTACTACGGCATGACGACCCCAGGGGTCTCCTCCATGTACATGGATTTGAACCAGACGACGCCAGTGACAGGGCAGTACGAGTCGTGTACCCGACCTGTTCTACCCTGGTACTAGACACACAAAGATAACTATAGACCGACACCCATAGACACACACATAGACATCCACATACAGACACCCACATACAGACACCCACACACACACATAGACACACACATAGACACACACATAGACACACACAGACATCCACACACAGACACCCACACACAGACACCCACACACACACATAGACACACACATAGACACACACACACACCTACCCACAGACACACACACACACACAGACACCCACCCACACCCACACCAACAGGCACCCACTGCACCAACAGCAGCACCAATATATCGTCTGCTTGTAAAAACTGTCCTCTGGAAATCTAAATTTCCCGCCACAGAAATATCCCACAATCTCTATAGTAGCACCCCGTACAAAGTTGACACAAACAATCCATTGATAAAATAAACTTCACGGAAGTAAAACATTTAATTGTGTGAAAGCAAGGGTGTATTGCTAGACAAAGGTAGATAACCGAGAAATATCCGACAAGTCTGTGTTCAACTCGGGGTTATGTCTCTTATCTGTGCCATAAAAACAATAAAAAATGACGTGAAATGACACAGCTTATATTTTAACGTGTGAGAATTCATACATTTCATGGACGTCTGCACATTTTTACTGACTTTTCTGTCCCTTAGTGTGTACGCACTTTATAAACTCAGGACCAGCAGGCAGGAACAGACAATTTGTTCGTTATTTATTCTGATTGTTTCCCTTAGTTGTGTACCATAACTCTTTCTACCCTGACCGGGAGGTGATAGCTGAGTTACTGTTCGTGATGACGGCACAGCGGCATACGTGACACACTAGTGACGACGTGTGACGCTGTCAATCACACTGTCACAAAAGTGACACGGTGACACATACATGTACAGTTGTTGTAATTGAAACCATGTACAATTTATTTATTGTAATAAATGAAACTTGAACATATTCAACGCGTGTTGCTGTTGCATGTTTTAAGAGAGTTGTGTGATCCATCAGTTATCCCATAATTAGGGGGGGGGGGGTGTGTCATTATGGCAAGGGCCCGTGGACAATAAAATACTGGATAAAATATCCTCATGACAAAAACAGACGCAGGTTTTCGCGATAGTAGGAGCGGCATACATCGCAAGCAGGGGAATTAAGCGACACTTTTTAATGCACTTTTGTAATAATATTTAATTGCGATTTTTTCAATTCTGTTTTGATTAAAATTTTTTTTTACATCTATTATGTTTATAAAATATCTGTTTTCTATTTATTCTGCAACATTTTTGTTTTAAAACGGAAATATATTTTAGGGTATAAGCTATAAATTTAAACCATAACGTAAGTTTTCAGAAACTAAATCAATATGCGCACTATGAGATTATACTCCATTTTCTTGATTTTGTTTCAGGAGAATATTGAAAATCATTTCCTATTTATATCTAAATTAATATACCAGGTAGAAACATACACAACCACACGCACTTAATCAGAGACATCATACATTATAGCACGCAGAAAGACACACAACTAGCGATTCTTAGCATCGACCAACAGAAAGCGTTCGACAGAGTAGATCATACATGGTTAATAAAAACAATAGATGCTTACAACCTAGGACACTATTTTAAAACATGGATAAAAATAATATATAACAATGCACATAGTCATTTATTAATAAACAACAGTGTTACAAGCGCTTTTCACATACAGAAATCAGTTAGACAAGGTTGTCCTTTATCTCCCCTACTATACATCCTAAGCTTAGAACCCCTACTAGAAAACATTAGACAGGACAACTCGATTAAAGGACTGTACATTCCAAACACGGTAGGCAAGAAAATACTTGCATACGCAGACGACACTACTTTCTTAGTACAAACAGAAAAAGCAATACAGACTGTAATAGAAAAATTCAACAACTTTGGGAAAGGGAGCGGGGGAAAAATAAACGCAGAAAAATCAAAAGTAATGGGTATAGGTAAATGGAAAGGCAAAGAATAAGGATAGAACCACATTATCATCCATTAGCACAATACTACATTGGGTTAAACATAAAGAGCATTTTAAAATTAAACATCATAACACCACACTATGGGGGAAATGACATAGGCAGCTTTTATAAAGAAACGCTAGCAACATTCCAAGGAAACAAAAGCATTATTGGGGAAGACACAAAAAAAATATACGACATCCTAATCAAACAACAAGCGACACCCTTATACACGAGAATTAGTTGGGCCAGGGAACACAATATAATAGACATTAAAGATACATTTAGAAACCTACATAATAAACGCATTACACCAAAAGAAAGGGAAATAGCATACAGACTGATTTTTAACACAACTCCAGTTTCACGAAATACAAAGTCAAATCAAAATGTTAAAATAACATGTCAAACGTGTAAACAAAATATACAAGAAACTGAGAAACACATTTATTTAGATTGTATATTAGTACAGAAAACAAAGCAAACACTTGCGAAAATATTAAACACCACCAATCAAACAGCCACAACAAATAAAGCAATCACACTTAATTTAATTAACACGACTAGACAAAGAACGGAAGACGAAAACAGACTAGTAGCAATGGCTATTTATAGATCGACTATATGGCAAATTAGGAATAAAGTCAGATATTTTTTCACAAAATACACGGACATCGATTTAAAAGAAATATTTCAAGCAAAGCTAAGACATAGACTAGGAACTCTCACTTAACTGAGAAAAAAAAAGAAATATACAGGAAAGAAATAAATAAAGTATTAATTTTAATTTAGACAGTCTCAAGCCAAACATCATTCGATCAGCCCCCAAGTAAATTAACATTAGAACAGTCTTCTGTTTCCCGGGTTTTAAAATGCACAACCTGAATGGTAGAAAGAGATACCAACCTCAACCCCCCCCCCCCCCAACACACACACACTTCCCCCCCCCCCCCCCCCCACTCAACCGGACTGGCGGATATTTCAAGGTAGCGTGCCCTCATTGCCAAGGGTCAATTTTATGTCATGGAAAGTTTTGGAATGATAGATCAGTACGTGATTACAGAGACACTTCTCCCACGGTCGTTTCTATTTCTGTCCATGGGTGGCTACAGTGTGAACTTTTGACTCCGCAGCACACTAAACTAAGCAGTGAAGAGAAACCTAGTTTGCACACCTTATTTTAATCTAGTTCTTATGCCATTTTATTTTTTCCCTTTGATTATTATATATGCAATTGATGTTCATTGTTCATGTCTTTGATGCTATGTAAAATCTATCAAATATATTATTATTACTGATTTAAATGTTTAAAACAATTGAATTAATAAAAATTAAAAAAATCTACCCCCTCCTCTCTCCCCCTCTATCCACTTTACCCCCAGACATGATAACCCCACAATCCCTTTAACTGTTCCAACGACCCCACCACCCACCGCAACATCAATATCCAGAACTTATTTAAAGTTCTAAATCTTGTCTCTTTCCCCTCATCTTTCACACTGCAACCTTTTGAAAACTCAATGCGACCACTACAACACCCTTTCCACTAGTCAACTTAAGTTGTTTCCCTACATAGAAAATGCTTCACTGTCCCATTGACCCTCACTGAAAAATTTCCTTTCCTCTCCCCACCCAGACTTCTGACACTTTCATTTGACCTTCACCCCTTTTACTGTCATCCTTTGCAATTTTTTTTAATAATCAAATACATGACATCATGTAAATATTCATTATGTACATTTGCAAAACCTTTCGTTTTCATTTGGTGTTCAAAATTATGTTAAAAAATTGGATGTTGATGTACTTGTTTTAATTGCAAATAAAAGTATTAAAAAATTTTTTTTCCTATTTGTGTGTTGCCAGGCCACGGATGGGCCTCACGCACAACTATGTCGGAAAAAATACATGAAACGACTATTCTTGCCTAACTTTGACTTGGCAGGACATACGCCAAAAACTCTAGAGATTTTAATTGAAGAGGTTTTTGTTTGGCTACCCTCACTGTGACGAACTAAAAATGACGAACTATGTATGTTATGTAGCCTTTCACCAACTGAATTTAAAGGTCTCTATAACTACGGGACACTGCGCAAATGGTATGTCACCATTAGATCAAAAGAACTATATGAGAAAATGCACCTAAAGGAGTTTCATATCAGTAACTCACGCCGATAAATCTGGGCAAAGGGTCACGCTGAAATGCCTACAGTCTAAGACAAACGATTATGATAAAACGGCTTCCAGCTAGTAGATGGACAGTACAGGGCAATTGAGCCTTGGTATGCAAATGATAAAGAAGAAGTTAGGGAGAATCTAAGTAACAAAAGAAGTTTCTTAAAGCATTGGGACAACTATGATATTGACGGAGAAAGACAAAATTAAATGCTTAGAGAAGCAAGGCGTAGAGAGGTAGAAGGTGACTTTAGAGTAGATGACCAAAATGAAACACATCATACTACTGCAGCATCACAGCAAGTTAACGAGAGCGTAACAGAGGCCAACGCAGAGGCCGAAGCCATGGAGACAATAGGGACAAGAAGTTCCATAGTAACAGGGGCTCAAAAAGACCACCACAATCCAGCCCTCCAGAAACAGATGTTCGAAAGAAAACCTCAAACAATTCATGCTAACTCTGGCAACATTGAACATTCGGGGAGAGGGGGGGGGGAGACAAAACACATTACATAATTAACATAATAAATAAACAAAATATTGACATCTTACTGTTACAGGAGACTAATATTGGAACAACAGAAGAAGCAGATAACTAGATGCATATACCGGTATCAACAACTCACTGCACAGTACTCGTTTTAACTGCAGAGGAACCAGTATACTTTGTACATCAGACAAACACAAAATCTAAAGTACATACACGGATAAACAGGGCAGGATAGCTTACAATATTGACAAAACAGAAATAACAATCATCAATATGACAAACAACACAAAGACGAGAACAAAAAATAGCACACACTGTCAGTTAGCTGTGTCAGTAATTAGCACGCACTGTCAGTTAGCTCTGTCAGTAATTAGCACACACTGTCAGGTAACTCTCACAATACTAGAACCGTGTCCTGTTTCCCTGTTTCACGTGCATTACGAACCTGACTTTCAGATGCCTCAACCAACATGGTAGAGTAGATCACAATAACATCATTAGAATGGTTGAGTAACATATTTTCCCATCTAGCCATTCTTCATTATGATCTCAGTTATGTAAACACAATAAATAAAATTAAAACATGGGATCAATTAGCTATACAGGTGTAATAGTGTACAAGTTATCTTGAATACATCGTATGTTAACACATATGTTTACATTACATACACTCGATAGACCGTACAACTAAAACATATGAGCCATTAAAGCATGCTTACTGATAGAATTACTGAATAGATCATAAACCTAAACGAGTTAGTTCCGTATACAATTTACGTAGTACGCTAACAAAAACTCCTAAAGGAACAATGGTTGAAACTCACGGAATATCATCCATGTATGGAGGTCCATTGAGCAGACAGAGTAGAGTTTTTCTGTTTATCGTACGGCGTCAAAACGGCCAATGACAAAAGGACCCCGACAAATCGGCCCCGACATAAGAGCCCCATCAAATCGACCCCGTCAAAAGGGCCAACGACATATGGACCCCGTCGTATACGCTCCGGACAAATAGGCTCCCATCATTTTGGCTCAAAACAAATAGGCTCCTGTCAATTCGGCTCCCGACACAAGGACCACTGAAAATACTGTTTCTGTAGAGACTAAGTCTCCCGACCAAACGGTCTCATTGAATACAACACCTGCCAGTGGGACCCCTTCATCATTATTCTTTATAGTTAACTTATCCAACACTCTTAAGTAATACAACGCATGTATCTTTTGCTCGGCAGGCCTTATTTATTTTACTAATAGTTTATCTATTATAAGAAATAGTATGTTTTTATTTAAGGGTCATCTATCTATGACTT